GCGGAGCCGATAAGCTGTTGGTCGGCTCACCGCGGTAGTCTGGACACGCGGGTGTCGACATCAAAGGCATTTGTCTACCACCCAGGTAAGCCTCCTGGAATGAGGTTTACCTGGGTGGTCGACAAATGCCTTTGATGTCGACACCCGCGCGTCCAGACTACCGCGGTGAGCCGACAAACAGCTTATCGGCTCAGCGCGGCAGCCATGTAAATTTAAATGAAGCGGCGATTATTTAAATCACCGCTTCATTTTCCTTTGCCGGGTAGCCTCATCTACATGCCTCTGTCGCTAGAGGCATGTAGTCTAGACGTAGCCTCAGAGTTAGCACCTTGCTAGCAATGCAAACTGGGATCAAAATCTGAATCAGTAGGGATATTCTTACACTTGGCAGACCAGACTTTCATTGTTGCTGCCCACCTTAATACTTCTAGAGTTTTGCTGAGGTATTTCTCTTTTTGGACTAGCTGCTGTTGGTGAGAGAGGCATGGTTTTGAATTGTCACAAAGAGAATTAGTCTAATAAAAGATACATCACCCACCTTGTGTGTCTAATATCTTGGGACCAATATGGCTACAATACTTTATACAATAGTTCTGCTGATTGTTTCCTGTTGTAGACAAGCCTTTATTTATGCTGGAGGCAGAAGTTCTTTGTACTCTACTCCTTTTGTAAGTACGGGTTAGACCATCCTGATCCAGCACCCTTGGGATCTGACTGGTCCTGGATGAGAGATTTTGCCAGACCAGAGGAGGTCATTTCTGGCCTGCCAGCCCTGGCCCAGCCTGCTGGCCTCCCAGCCAGCTCCTCGCCTGCTGCTGGCCCCACTACACTGCTGCTGTGTGGTTCGATTTATTTTAGAGCCAAGGAAATCCACTACACTCCAGAGAGACTTACCCACTTATTTATTGCAAGCTTTAAGTAATTAATATAGCTGTATAAGTTTTACAAGCCTTGAAAACAAATATTATACAATTTAAACCTTAAATACTAGGAATTTTGAAAACAATTAGTACAACACAAAAAATACAAAAGCAATTAATAGGAGATTTATTATAATACAGTATTTACTCACTTACACTTCATCTGTATGCCGCCTACAGTACTAAGCAGGAGGTTCATGGTCCCTTTGACTCCCATGATTTGGGATGCCATGCACTGCTGTAGCTGGGGTGAAGTCTATTTACTTCTAGTTACAAGGAGCAGGACCTGTGGGTCAATCCTGCTCACTACCTCCCATCGTTTCTTCTTACTAAGCCCGTTTTATAACAAAATGAGACTTGGTCGTTTTAATAATATCTACAAATTGATTGTGTTGTGTAAGATATCTAAAATGTCCAATGCCCTTGTTTGGGGTACATCCTGCTACTCAGGATGTTGCAAAAATTATGTGCTTGGTTAATAGTTTTATGGCAGTATCTTGAATTTTTGCTTATCAGGAATAGAATGTACCAGTACAAGGTTCCTCCCAATATTCTTGGAGTGATCTCACTTTACAATGCTGAATCTGCATGATTGTGCAAAAAACATTCCTGCCTCTCAAAGCTCCCTTCCTCCCACAGCCTCAGCCTTGCCTGCATGCTCGATGATCGCGGAGAAAACCACTCGCCAGCACCGCACTGCGCATGCGCGAATTGCCGGTGAACGGGGTGGCCAGCTGAAATCTACTCGCCACGCGCGAGTAGATAAGCGGATTTGTCGAGCCCTACTTATGTGCATCAGACTTTAGACAGGCCTAGGTTTTGCTTTGCTAGAGAGCTGTACTTTGGGCAAGGCAGATGTTATTATTTTAATCAAGGCAGGGCTGTCCAGGCTCCCCTACACCTGCCATCACTGCTGGGCAGCTGCAGCTGCCATGGGCTCTCAGCTCCCCATGGCAGTCACCAGACACTGGCAGTCTCCCAGCCCTGCTGAGCAGCCCCACCAGCAGCTCTTTGCAGGCAGCCCACTGCCCTGCCAGTCCCGCAGGGCTCCCTGCTGTTGGCCCGCCACTGGGACTCTCCGGTCCTGCAGTAGCCATGCCGGACCACAGATGTTGCTGGACCAGAGAGTCCCGGTTTAGAGCATTTCAACCTGTACTCAATTCAATAATTAATTAAAGGGATTTTTATCTGCACTTTTGAGTTTAACATATAGTCAGTTGATAAACATAAGTCTTACCGTTTCAACTCTGATATGGTTCAGAAGGCTTTTTTTCCCTTTAAAAATGTTTGAAAGATGATGGATACATGAGGATATTTCAGTATTATAAAGTTTGTCATGCAAATTAACAAAATCAGGAAATTGAGGTGGATGCCTTTTATTTAACTTACCTTCTTGCATCTCAGTATTGAAGTAGATCCTGAATCAATTTGTTGCAATTTGTATTAAAAGCCCTTCATATGTTGTTCACAAACTTTGAATCTTGTGCTGTTTAGCCATTGTACTAGTTATTCCCTGGTAAAGTGCAATCCAAAGTTATTCTCTTATCCTGTAGGTAATGAGAAAATCGCATGAAGCTCGTGAAAAGTTGCTGCGTCTAGGAATTTTTAGACAGGTGGAAGTTCTGATTGATACATGTCAAGGTGAGAACTGGATTCTATTCTTTTCTCTGCCATTGAGTTCCTGCATGTTGCCATGCAAGTCACTTAAACCAGATTCTTCATAGATGTTCACTAAGTATGTGTACCTCATTTTCTGGCAGCTGATGTGAAACTGCTGGAGCTAGATTTGCAAGAGTGTTCAGTGTTCACAATTGCAACTGAAGTGGGTAGAAGAGTGATGTGAATATATAAAGGACTATAAAAAATAACTGTACTTTGAAAAATCACACCCTAGATTTCTTCATATAGCACCTAAAGTTAGTGAACACTTTCCCGTTTTGTGTGTTACCTCAGTTCTCCATGTGTAAAATGAATGTTAATGTCATGGATGGATTGGATAGATAAATATATTCATGCTTGAAGTAGTCTGATTTTTATAGTGAGATCACTGTAGTAATGCCCTTGAGGAAATTATTTGTGTTTAGTGCAGGTTTTGTGCTTCTACATGTTGAACAAGAGGTCTAATAAGAAATAACTAGGGGCCTGTGCACCCTGCTTGCCATCCGACCCTCTTTCTAGGGGTAAGCAGCCCTGGCTCTTCTCCTGGTTGCCAGGGCTTGAAGTAGTCTGATTTTTATAGTGAGATCACTGTAGTAATGCCCTTGAGGAAATTATTTGTGTTTAGTGCAGGTTTTGTGCTTCTACATGTTGAACAAGAGGTCTAATAAGAAATAACTAGGGGCCTGTGCACCCTGCTTGCCATCCGACCCTCTTTCTAGGGGTAAGCAGCCCTGGCTCTTCTCCTGGTTGCCAGGG